TACAGTACAGAAAAACAAATCATATATTTTCATGGCCAGTAAAACGCATCGTTTGACCGATTGGTTTTTGTTTGTTTTGTTTTTTTCGGGGTGGGGTGGAGAAGCATCCCAATATTGATACTGAGGACAGATCTTGTTTCGTATCCTGTACTGCTCCCTCCCTCCCTCTGAACACCCCAAGAAACTCATACACGATGTGATATTGTTTCTTCGTTTTTATGCCCGACTACCTTTGGCGGTGGCGACGGGAAGGGTGGGTGAGTGGAAAGAAGACATATCTCACTGTCATTTATCATTATTGTCGTTGTTTACCATTCATCCTGTTCCACCCTGCCTCTGTGTGTGTGTGTGTGTGTGTGNCGCGCGCGATTTCGGATGGACATTAGTGCTGTTGACTCTCTCTCTCTGTCTGATCACGAGGAATATGTTCGTGATCCTCGAACTGCGTGCGTGCGTTTGTGTGTGTGTGTACCATCATTACAATTACTACTACTACTATTATTTCAGCCCCTTATTTGTCACCCGTCCATGGTGCGCGTCCGTCGCAAATTTTGCATTTATTCGGCTGTTCCTGGCTGTCCGTCCGCACAGTCCCCTCTGTACCCTTGCATTATCACACCTCCTGTACAAGTGATTTGAAAACATACACAAATGATTTTCAATTTTATCACACCCTGTTCTGTTGAATTCGAACCAGATCGGGAGCCAGAGCTTGGGTTAAAGGTTTTGAAATTCGTTTTTGTTGCTACTGGGACCATAAACTGTGCATGAAAATACAATCTTTCGGAATGTTAGTTAAATTGAAGAAAATTCCTATTGCTGTCCTATTTCATGTACACAGAGATCACAAGCATGAGAAAGGTATTCCATCGCCAAACTTCGGAGAAGGTGAACTCTCACCCTCGATTCCTGTCACCATTGAGATACAATGGGGTTGTCCCATCTCTCCGTTTCTCTTCAACTTTGTCATAGATTATGTTCTACAGATCGGGTTAATTAGGGTAACGAATTCTGGTATCTCTCTCTTCTTCCTGGAGTCAGAGTCGTGGACTTAGAGAAAGTACGCTTATGATATTGTCCTACTCGGTGGCAACGCAGTGGCGATTCGACAGTCGCTGAATCGCTTGAGGTTACTCGTTATGGTAAATGTTTTGTACCTTCAAAAGGCAAGGTGTTGTTGCATGATTGGCGGGANGGAACCCGTTCCTGTGCTTTCATTGGGTACTGACACTCTGGAAGTAGTCGGAAGATTTGTCTACTTTGGGAGTTGCATAACGGCTGGTGGAGGTGTGGGCGAGGAGATCTCTCAACACGTGATCAAAGTTAGATTAGCGTTTGCTAATTCACGACATCTCTGACGTCGGCGCAACATATCCCTTTCACCGAAACGGCGTGTGTATTGCGCAACGGTACGCACCGTGTTGCTCTGTAGCCACGAAACCTGGCGTCTCCGAGTCGATCATGTCCAACGACTATCCGTCTTCAATAATCGTTGTTTGCGTATGGTAGGAGCATCGTGTGAATAACGAACGAACATTCGCCTGCGCCTTGAGGTGGAGAATCCTTGGAGTCATTCACCGTTCCAAGCTCTCATACAATGGTTTCAGGGCGCTATAAACCTCCCATATCAGACCTCGTTTGGAGTTCGTGAACGCAGCGGTATATTGGTGCACAACTGCCGAAATTGTGAAACTGGAGAGGGTCCAACGAGCTGCCACTGGCATGATTGCCGGGTTACGTGGGTGTTGCTACACTGAACGATTGCACGCTACTGGATTGTTCCCCGAGTCATATCGCTGAGTACGGGGTGACATCATATGGGTACGACGTATTTATTCAACGTGGTGACATGGGCCCAGAGCTAATGGATTACTTCGCTCTGCGAGAGCAGAGCAGGACTCGTGGACACAGACGTACGCTGCTGAAGCTTCCGTCGATAGGATTACCTCTTCGGTACCGACTACCGGGTATGGTAACCAACCCATGGAACTCCCGTCCGGCCGATGTGGTGGACGAGGTAAATGGTAATATGTTCAAGAGGAAGCTCGACAGCGTCCTTCGCGAAATGTGGTATGCAGATCAGTCCTGAATGCATTCATCGAGTCTGTGGTGACGAGGTTCATACGGGAAGTTTCCCACTGCCTCTAATGGAAGAACATTGAACATTGAAGGTTGCTGAGAAATTCAGAAGAAACGCGCTGTCGGTTTATAAGAATTCTAGCGAGGTAGGGAACTGAGGAATTTCCGCAGAGGTTAATAATCGACATGAAGAACGCGTATATGAATGAGAGAAGTATTTGGATAGATCGCCATGAAAACGATGAGTGGATGATAGATNGAATGCACTCTTCGAGTTTGTGGTGACGAGGCTCATACGGGAAGTTTCCCACTGCCTCTAATGGAAGAACATTGAACACAGCGGAATCAGTTTTTGTCTACACATGTGACAGCTTACCGGCAACTTCAGTTAAGCAACCGCTTTCGTATTATGCCAAATCCCATGAATTGTATCAATTCGTCTGTGGGTGTTCGGCCACCTACCTAGGCAGAACCGAGCGGCAGCTTATGCAAAGACTAGTAGTCGAACACATCCTTGTGATGGTTGACAAACTGGTGAGCGAATCACATCCGAGTGATTGAAGTCAAGGGTTAATCCTGCGTCACACATTAGCGTCATCCATCGCTTGTCACGTGTTAGAGAGATTGGGCATCAAGCGAACAGTATTCAAAATGTTCTCATCGCGAAACAATCTCGGTTGTTTCAGTTTGCACAGGCGATTGCCATAGAAAGATGTGCAATCGGAAAGAGTTATTTTTACCTATAGCCTTGCCTTGTTAGAACGATGGACAAATTTAACCCCAACAGCTTATCCACAGTGACTGTTACTTATTAGTTTTCATTATATTCTTTAGCTGTAGTATATAAAACAGGAGATACAGTGAATATTTTCTGGAAATAAATTATTCAGCATTGTGCTACTGGCTACTCTACCCGAATTCATATCGAT